GAAGGCCGTCCATGAGACAGACGGACACAGTGGCCGCATCTGGGGCCCAGACACAGGGACTCTGCTGAGGGAGGCGCAGGGCGGGCAGCGCTTCGTCCTGTTGTGCCCACGGGTCTCTGTGGGTCGGAGTTGACTCAACGGTGCCTGACAACAACGACAACAACAGGCCACGTGGGAGCCCTGGTGGCATCCTGGTTGCCCATCGGGCTGCTAACTGCAAGGTCAGTGGTTCAAAAGAAAAACCAGCAGCTCTGAAGGAGAAAGACAGGCCTTCTACTTCCATAAGGAGTGACGGGCGGTCCGGGCAAAGCACATGGGCAGCTCTACCCCGTCCTCCAGGGGCACTAGCAGGAGGCATGGACCTGGTGACAGTGAGTCTGTTGGTCTGTTTGCTTGTTTTCCATTGTTGCCAAGGAGCCCTGGGGAGGCAGTGGGGTAAATGCTGGGCGGCTGACTACAAGGTCAGCAGTTCAAACCCACCAGTTGCTCTGATGGGGAAAGATGAGACTCTCGGCTCCTGAAAACTCTTCGAACTCTGCAAGAAACCCACAGGGGCACATCCGCCTTCACCTAGAGCCGGGGTCCTCAAACCTTTTAAACAGGGGGCCAGTTCACTGGCCCTCAGACCCGTTGGAGGGCCGAACTATAGACAAACTCCTATGCACACTGCACCTATCTTATTTTGAAGTTAAAAACCAAACGGGCAATAGCACCCAGCAGGTTGGATAAATGTCCTCGGCAGGCCGCCTGTGGCCTGAGGACCCCTGAGGTCCTAGAGGGTCACTAGGAGCTGGAACCAACTTGATGGCAGTTTCCCACCTTCCCTTTATAGCTGGGCTCAGTGAGCTACGGCCTGCAGGCCCAGCCCGGCCCGTGGCCCGTGTGCGTAGCCGCTATACTGGGGCCGCGTTGTCCTCAAGTTGATTCCAACCCATAGAGCAAAGCAGTCCCATGAGGTTCCCAAGACTGGAACGTTCTAGGAGCAGACTGCCTCATCCTTCTCCCAGAGTGCAGCTGGTGGATTTGAACTGCCCACCATTCAGGTAGCAGCTGAACGCCCTGGGCGAACAGGGCTCCCTTCTTACAAGTGAAATGGCTGTGTTGACAGATAGGAAAGGAAAGGGGAGAGGAGACACAGCAGATCATTTCAGGGCAGTCCTCTGAGGCCCACAAAGCCCCCTCCTCCCATCTGACCTGTTCCTGCCAGCATACCCAGCACCCTGGTGAGCAATGCCACCTCTGCCTGGTTGTCAGACTGATTCTCCCTGTGGAGAGCCCCCCCCCCAGCCCCCCACCTGCTGGTGTGGCTCATTTCTGGTGGTGTGATGGACACCGTGGGAGCTAACAGGTGGAGTATCCAGATCACAATGCCCTTCTTTAAGAAGATATTGATTTTTTATTAGACAATAACTTTCCTTGCAGATCAGTGGGGTCCCTCCAAGGCTGGTTTCCCATCATTATCAGCACTAGGAAGGACACTCTCCTGGGCACGATCCATGTCCCTGAGACACGGCACTCCTGGGTCTGCACGGAATGTCCAGGGAGCTGACCGACACCTCTCCACTCGGAGGCCCCCCAGCTGTGTGCAGGCAGGCTCGTGCCTAGTTCTTTGGCTCATGGCTCCCCAGTGGCGCCCCGCCCTCGGCCTAGCTGTGTGAGGGCTGTGCTTCCCACGCATGTGGCTTAGGACTCACCTGCAGACTAGCTGAGTCCCCTCTGAGGGTGTCTAGCTTCTTCTCTGATCTGCCTGCTGCCCCCCGGCCCCCGGCCCAGCCTCCAGACCTCTGCTCAGACAACAACAGTGTCCTTGGGAGCCCTGAGCTCTGTCCCTCCCCGCAGTCTGGAAAGGGCCCCCAAGCAGACAGTCAGGGGGTCAGGGAGCTCTTCTCAGCTGTTGCCCCACTTTTTCCAGGGGTCACAGACCTGTGTTCCCTCCTGTCAACTCCGGAGATGGTTCGGTCCGCGCAGTGCTAGTTTCCTGGTTGTTTATGGCCGGAGGGCTGGCTGGTGCTGGTTTTTCCAGCACGTCTGGACGTGGCACACAGTACCTTAGGGATTCTCATGGACTCATCCGGCCTTCTCCAGTGGGCTCTGGGCTCCCAGAACACCGGAACTGTGTGCGGCCCCTCTCCTGCTCTGGTGTGGGCTATCCAAGGTGTTTGAGGGTCTGCTTTGGAAGGTGCTCACGGGACAGTCTGGTCAGGGCTTTATTAGAGGTATGAGCAGTGTCCAGGAGACACCCCCAAGAGAAACCCCAAATCTGCTAGTAACGTTTAGGAAAGCCTTATGAAGAAGGTAACCGAGATGGACAAGATCCAAGACATCATTTCCAAGAGGCTAAGTGAAAGAACATGGATTTGTTTGTTTTAAGAGTATTTAGGAAGAGCAGTGTGCAAAGACTCAACGAAGGGAAGCACCTTGGCACGGGCCAACAACAGAAGCAGCAAAGCAGACGTAGCCTGCAGTGTGGGGATGGTCCAGGGCACACATGGAGCTGAAGGAGAATGTCTGGGTGATGCTTCACGTGGGGACTGTGAGCTCTTCCAGTAAGTTCTGAGGGGTCTTTAAGCCAAGAGAGACCTGGGGGATACTTGCATCTTAAGGATGGTCAAAAGTACAGAGACTACAGCGCAACAGGAATGGGAGGTCTGAGACGGAAGGATGGAGCCACCACAAGATATAATATCTGACTCATGGGAACCCCAGACAGAGAGGAGGGAAGTGGACAGAAAGTACATTTGAAGGATTGGGGGTGGCCGCCAAGACGGGAGGCCAGGAGAGCAGTCTAGGTAGCTAAGGCCCCTAGGAGAGGTGGTGGAGATCGGTTCCTGAGACACGTCGGAGGCTGAATCCACGTGGTTCAGTGATCTGCATCCCCCCAACAGGGAAATCATCGACAGGCCAACCCAAAGAAGAGAGAGCGAGGCTCCTGGGCTGGGCACTCAGAAGCCAGGCAGCACTTAGCTCACCACCAACTCCCCAAGCGCCTATTTGCAGCGCACCACTTGGCAGTGTTCTCCTCATCTTAAATTGTCATTTAGAGTTGGCACAACTTGGATGCTAGAAATCGATGGGGGAAAAAATTGGAAAGGGAGACAAAGGACGAGATGAAGAAGAACCTGGTGAAAACCGGTGCGCTTCCAGGGCCCATCGTTCCCGCCAGGGCAGGGGGCTTGGGGTGGAGCCGAATGAATGCTCAGGAAGGCCTTCCGTGCTCAAATACCAGCTGGCAGCGGCCTTGGCCAGACTTTCCCGGGGGGAGTTCGTGAATGCTTCACGCAGCCTCAAAGCAGAGGCCAGCCTTGGCCAAAGGGAGTGCTGCTCCACGGCTGGGGGAGGCGATGGACAATGAAATGTGCTGCTGCTAAATGCCGAGCAGAGCCAGGAATTTCTGGCTGCAGCCATCCATCCTCCTCAGGTGCTGGGGCACAAGAGAGTCTTTCCCATAAACGGAAGCCACACCTGTTACTCGGCACTCCAGCACTCAGAAGGGGCGTGTACCTGGACATCAACCTGGGCAGCACGATGCCTGTTTGCCTTGGTGGTATAGGGGGCCAACGGGGCCAACGTGGTGACCTTGCCCCGGCTCAAGGCTGGGTGCCGAAGAGCCTGTTGCCACTGCCACTATCTCTACAGCCTCTGCACTGGGAATGGAATAAACAAGGGCAAGGCCACCCATCTTACCCAACAGGCAAGGCACCTCGCACGAGGGGGCTCGGCTGTGTCAGGTGAGGCCTACCCCCAGCTTCTAGAGCAGGGCAGGAACGGGGGGGCAGAGGGTGTCCTGCGGCTTGCGTGCACACACACACACACCACTCAGAGCTCCCTCCCTCCCCCATCACCACAGGGCAAAGATCCCCCTGCAGCCTCAGAGAGAAAGATTTGATGAGACTTCCTTCGCCCTGGAGGAAGGAGGCGGGGAGGAAATCCTGGCTGCAGGAAGAGGGGACATCAAGACGCTGGACAGCCTGGCCCCCACAAACTTCCCACCTCACTGGGGTGGCAGCCGAGAGAGACACAGACGGAGATGAGGGGCTTTCCCAGGGGCCCCCGAGAATGACCCTGTGGGTTTGTGTTGGACTCCCTGCTCACAGGAGATCCAGTCCCAGGCTCAGGACACAGGGCGGATGTGTCACCCAAGAGGATGACCACAAAACAACAGGAGGCTGTGTGCACACGCTGGCTCGATCACGGGGCACCCTGTGCGGCCTTCACGGAAAGCTGGCATGGGGAGCGGGACCCTCTGGCACACCCTCTCTTCGGAGAAGGAGACTGGGACCTGGAGACACCAAGCGGCTTGGTCCACAGCACAAAAAAACAGGTCCACATCCAAACGCAGCCCTCCAGGATTCTAGGAGGAGGCTAGGGAACCCAGAGGCCCGACTGCAAGGTGCCCGGCTGCTAACTGAAAGGTCAGCAGTTCAGCGCCACCGTCTGCTCGGTGGGAGGGGAGGCCTGACCAGCTGCTCCGGTCAGGATTCCTTGTCGTTGATAGGTACTGGTGAGCCTGTTCCCACCCCCAGCTGCCCTGGAAAAAGCATGAGCCCAGCCCTGCACCATCCGCCCAATCATGTCCACGTTTGACCCCATTGTTGCAGCCACGCTGTCAGTCTGTCTTCTCAAGGGTGTTCCTCTTTCTGGCCAGGCCTTGACTTTACCAAGCATGATGTCCTCCTCCAGGGACTGGTGTCACCTGATGACACGTGCCCAAAGTAGGGAGACCAAGTCTTGCCAGTCTGGCTTCCAGGGAGCCTTCTGGCGGGACTTCTTCCGAGACAGACTGGCCCGGTCTCCTGGCTGTCTGGGGTCCATAGGCTACTCCTGACCCACAAGATCGCCCCAAGGCATCGCGTCTTCCTCAAGCTTCCTGACTAGCATCAGCCCAGGAAGCCCATACGGGGCACTCTGCCCGGTCACCCGGGGCCCCCATGCATCCAGATCACCTCAGGGGCGCAGAGACCAAGGTGAAGGCTATTGGCAGACAGAGGCCACCCACGTACCTGGTTGCAGGAAGAGTGCTGACGCGGGTGAGGAACACGGACGGCTCGACCTCCACATGCAGGCCCAGAGAGATGCTCCGGTAGTAGCCCTCCACGTGGCCCGGGCCGCCGGAGTACTTGAAATTCAGGATGGCTTCCAGCGTCTGCAGAGACAAAGCAGTGGCGAGTCAGTCTTCCCCCCCTCGAGGGGTCAGTGCTGCCCTACAGGGGCAGGCAGGCTCCCCACTGGGAAAACACCTTAACACCCAGCCCTCTCCAACCCCGGCCCCGCCTCCCTTCAGGTGTCCCCATGTCTCAGACTGAAAATGAAACGGGGATTCAAAAAACCCACAGGGCTCTGTGGTCAGGTGCAGCATTGCAGAAAGAAAGGTGTATTTCCATCAATGGTGTTTCTTCAAATTAAGCAGGAGGGGGCATGCTGACCCCCTGCTGGCAGGGAGTAGACGCCAATGAGCTACGGCCCCCTGGCACTCCCTGTAGGCCCCCAGAGAGATGGACCCACGGCGGGACTAGGAACCAGCGCTCCCAGGAAAGTTGGACCCTGCAAAGGTGGCGGCCTCCGGGCGGGGAGCACTGAGAGAGGAGGCGGCGTAGCGAGAGAGAGTCCACACCAGCTCCAGCCCTGAGCTCCACAGTCCACCACAGGCCTGAAGACCAGTGTCGGCCAACAGTGGCCCAGGGACCAAATCCCGACCACAGCCTGCCTACGCCTCTGTGGAGCCTGGGAGCCCAGAAGGGCTTTTACAGTTAGGAGCTTGTCAAACAGAAACAGAAACGCAAAGAAGTCCCGGGACTCCGGCTCCCAGAAACACGTCCTAGAAGGTCCTTACATGGAAAGTTTGCTGTCCGGTCTTCAGCCAAACGGGAGACAGGTCTGAAGGGCAAACCATAGCACAGGGACGTAAAAACTCCTTAGAAGCCAGCACCCACAGGAGGCCACGGGGCATTTGCCCAAGGTCAGAGTTCAGCAGGCAGGAGGGGACAGAAAGGCGGAGGCATGGATGCAGGAGGCAGGGAGAGTGAGTTGGGCAGTGAAGTGACGTGGGAGGACTATGATCTAGGGCGTAAGATGCCAAGGACGGAGAGAAAACGAGTCAAAAACGGTGATGGCCCCACATGCACCGATGTGCTTGACGCCACTGCTGTCGGGGTTGTTACGAGAGCTTAAGGGCCTCAAAACAACGCTCGCGAAATGAAAATAAATAAAGTGGGTGCGACATGGCCAGCGCACACTGATCTGCCCTCGGAACCGTCACCTGGTTGACGGTGAAAATTTAAAAAGCAAAACCACAACTAAAAACCCCTGCTTGCCAGGCAAGTCCTTGGAGGCAAACCGAGGACCAGACCTCAGATGAAGAAGCAACGGCTCCGTGGCTGCGGCACCACACGCAGGAGGAGCAGGCGACAGAGGTTCCAGGATGGGATGCTGGGGGGGAAACTACACATTTTTAAAAGAATGCTGTGGAAACTCAAGGAGAGACGAGGTCCTGGAAGAAGGCTCCACCACTCACGCTGAAGCAGCAAGCTGACCTCGCACTCAGGGGAGCTCGATACAGGTGGTGGTCCTGTGCCCCCCGAGGTGATCTGCAGACCGGGCTTCTCCCTGACTGTGATCTTGGACAGGGACCAGGGCCTTGCTTCCAGTCCAGCTTGCTCTGGGGGCCCCACGGAAACCTGCTGGCTGTCGCAGCCACATGCACGGCTTCGGTGACAGGGGGCCAGTGGCTATGCCTCACGTGTCCCGGCCAGGTGTCCCCTGTGGAAGGCAAGAATTCTGCCAACCTCTGAGCCCCCAGACTGCCAACGAAGCATTGCCTCTGTGTCTGTTCTGACTCACGGGGACCCGACAGCCACCACCCAGGGCACAGTACAGTGGCCCTGGGGGTTCTGAGGCTTCTCATGGTCACTGGAGCAGAATGCATCATCTTCGCCCCCTGGAGCGACTGGTCGGTTTGAACCACCAGCCTTGTGGTCCGCAATTCAGTGTAAAACCCAGTACGCCACCAAAGCTCCTTGTCACCAGACTTCGGTAAGGATTAAGGGAGAAAATGTGGCCGGGGAACCAGTAGGCACAGTTTCTGCACACGCTTTCCTCCCTCTGCAACCTCACACCCTTCTGACACCCTGGGCGAGGTGGTTTAAAGGGGGAAGAAATGAGGTGAAGCCCCAATTTCCAAGACCACTGTTCCACCTTCCCCTGCAGCCTTCCCCCTCCCCCACCACACGGCCTCCACTCTACATGCTTACCAGCTCCCTTCAACATCTGTACAACCACCAACACCTTCCCGCACGTTCTCCTCCCGTATAAATCCTACCTCTCCTCCGTGACTCAGAGAAAGCTCCCCTCTAAGAAGACCTCTGTGCCCCCCACTCGCAATGCGTCCCATGAGGTAAAGCCTCAAGGATCACATTTGGGCTTTGCTAAAACCCGGATCCCTCTCCCATTCATCTAGCCCAAAGCTATTCCCACCGTCTCAAAAATACGCGAGCTCTGCTCCTCCCTCGTGAGCGCGTCTTATGACTCGTGAAGCCCCAGCCTCGTTAGCAGCAGCAGGTGAGACCCCCCACCCCACCCCACCAGACGCACGCCCACATAAGCCTTTCTGGAAAGACCTTCCAAATCCAATTCTTGCAGATGTACCGCCCGGGTTCAGGCTTCCTGCAACGGGTGCCTTCCCTCACTCTTCCTTTCAAACACTTCCTGGGCATCTTCTGGAGATGAGGGCTCGGGACAAGACAACGTCCACGTGGTCCCTGGTCTCCGAGAGCTTAGGACATGTTGGACGTATGACCAAGTGAACTAACCAATAAGCACACGAAGCCCACTCTCCACCCCACATGTGGGCAACCGCTTCCACTGCGAGCAGAACGGTCAAGACCATGAACAGACCTTCCTGCCGTGGCCTCAAAAAGCCCAAACCTGTGAAGCGAATGATCAACGTCACACTGTTTGCTGTTTCTTTTCTCTAAGGCAAGACTTCACAAGCCCCTCCAGGGAGGGATGTGATGGACACCACTCGGGAAACAAGCAGAAAGAGGGAAGGAAACTCCGACAGAGAGAGAGATGGCTGTGGAGGCCGGCACAGAGACCAGAGCAGCCGAGCGGAGTCACGCGCTGCTCTCTGCGCCGGCGGCGGCGGCTGCGGGGCTCCATGGAGGACCAGGGCAAGACACCCGAGGGAGAAGCGAAGCTGTCTCGTTTGTGAAAACCAAGCACAGGAAGGGCTCGGTGGAGTTATGGGACCCTATTACTGCCGGTTCCTCCTCGATTAAAAAAAGGAAATGAAAAGCTTCCGCTCCCAGTAAAATGAGAATATTTTAATAAAATCACCCAAGAGGGCGGGTACGGCAGAAATAAAAACCAAAGCGCAAGGGTGAGCAAGCTCTCTTTCGACCGGTGCATCATGGGGAGCAAAGCACCCATCTTCCAACATCCTCCACAAGGTGTTTTTCTTCTGAAAGCATTTTCTAGCCCTTGCTTTGAGAGACGGTTCTGATCAAAACAAAAAGCAATGGGGAAGTAGCTAAAGAAAAAATTGGGGGGATTTTTCATTTCCAGGCATATACCTTCTTATGAAAGCTAAAATGATTGGCTTTCATCCAAAGAAAAGAGCAGAGGGGATTGGACAACAGATGGCAAAGGCAACAGAGTGCGAAACATGCGAGAGGGCAAACGAACCACGAGCCGCGCTTTCAGCCGGTGCGATACTAGACCATGGTGCATACGGGAGGGGACCCCAGGGCCGGCTCGGCGGCCTTGTCTGGAGGAGGCAGACCAGCGCACCAAGGAGGCTGGACAAGGCAGCGCAGACCCAGGGAGCAAGTACTTCAGCAAGAGCCTGCCTCGCTCCCTGCCTCCGAGTGGCTCCTGACTCACGGCGCCCCGTTGGGACAGAAGAGAATCTCCCCGGGCGTCTCCAAGGCTGCGCCTCTTTGTGGGAATAGAGAGCGTCAGCTTTCTCCCGAAGAGGAGCTGGTGGTCTCAAACTGGCCAGGGGTCTGAAGCCGGACGATCCCCAGAGCTCGTCCTGGGCTGAGAACCACTCAGGTCTCCATCCGTGTGCCAAGCGGGGAGAATTCAAGTGTAAATGCTGCTCGGGGCTCATCATCAAACATGTTTGAAAACCAGCCTTGTAAAGATCAAGGTGATGGTTGCCAGAACCATGTCAGACCTCTTTCAGGGAACAAAACAGAATTCAGACTCTCAAATATAACTTCTGTGCTGTCCGTCAGCAAACAAAAACTCACCAGATGTAAACAGCTGGGAAAGCTGACCCATAAAAAGATGGGAGAATACGGG